CTTGTGAAAGCATGAGTCAGATGGGACTTGAAGGAGGATTTGCTGCCCTGGGATTATTCTCCAGTGAGAATTGTGCATATTGTCCAGTTTGCACAGCTCAGGAGGCAGCAGGGGCAGAACCCAAGGCTCTGTCTGTTATCCAGGGAACTGAGTTGTGAGCAGTTTAATGGTACATATTATATTTATGTATTATATGTTCTGCTCCCAACACTGGCAGTGATTTGGAGCCATATTTGGTGGTTTAACTAATACTCCAAAGTAGAAACACAATACAAGTTTTAGAGATTAATTCAACATGCCCAAATCCCCAAAACCTACTGCACAAAACCAGACAAACCAAAACCTTTAGTATGAAATATTAATGCTATGACCTTAGTATGAAAATACAGAAAAATAAACAGTTACCACATTTGCTGATATATAGCAATAGATGAGTAACTTGCTATGAGCATTTCATTTTAATTAATTTATTTCTATGTTAGCATTTCGGTTTTGGAAGGTGAAGGATTTCCTCTTGGAGGAGGGAGGGCACAGGGCTATCTATGTCTTAAAACATGTTCCTTTTATTCTTCAGGCAAATACAGTAATACCAACTCTGCTGAATGGTTTTAAATTGACATAGGGTTTCCTGAGAAAGACTAAAATGTATGTGGTGTCTGGATTCAGTCCAAAGCATCTTTACTTCTGAACTGGCTTAGGCCAGAGAGACAGGATGTTCCGCAGAGCAAAAACCATGTGATTAAAGAACATGAACAAACACAGAGTATATTATTAACAAAACACCAGACTGCATTTCATGTTGGGTTTTCTGGCTGGTGACCCATGGAGTTGACTCAAAAAGTTAACAGAGAGACAAAGGTCCAGTCTGTTTTAACATAACTAATAATCACAAAAGATTCTCTGAAGCCTTCTCTCCTGTCTTAAAGAGCTGTCCATACAGGTCCTGACAGGGGTATAAATACATCTCATGAGACTTTGTGCTCAGGAATATGTCCTGAGAGAGTGTTACAGCATCTGCTGCAGAAGGGTTTTATCTTGATTCACCGTTCTGTACATGTCTAGAAATTAGGCTCCCTCTTGCCTCCAGGCTCATCATGCTGTCAACAGTATCTTCATTTCTCCCTTGTGTTCTGACTCACACGCCTGTCAGTGCCATCCTGTCTGTCCTACTTTGTGGCCTCTTCCATTTTCAGGATGTGGCTGAATCCTCCACATCCTGATCAGCAGCTGTCTAGGCCACGATCTGTGTGGGCAGGCTTTGAGTCACTCTGTTTTGTGGTGAGGATGCATGTAATTGAGGCATGAGGTGAAGGGTGTATGGTGTTTGAAGCCTTGTGGGGCACTTGAATAGCAGCTGACAAAAAAATTTTGATCATAAGCAGGTAGATAAGATGGATTAGTCTTGGCTGGTCATGTCTGCCCTTACAGAAGATAATTGAAACAAAATTAATATTTTTTGCAGCTGTTGATAGAGTTGGGAGGTTTTGCTCCTCAGCATTTGCATGCCTTTGACCCCAGAACCTGGAGGCATCCGTGAATCTTCACAGTGTAAGTATTTCACTTGCTGTATTTCCTGAAGAATCAAAGAAACCTGTTTATTAGAAGTAGAAACAGATAGCCCTGTGCCCTTTCTTCCCAAGAGGAAACTCTTCACTCTCCTAAAGTTTCTTCAGGAAATTCAATCAGTGTTGGAGTGGCTGTCTCCCATCCTGTCCACATCTGTGTCTTTTCCTAGGAGGCTGCACTTCTCCGGGCTGAGGTGCCACTGAGCCCGTGACCGTGTGTGAATCCTGGTGATGTTTTACTGTTCTGTTCTCTGGACAGTGTGTGAATCCAGGGAAAGGGCACATCCAGGCCTATTTTCATTCACTTTTCACAGAAGGTGAATTTATTACAAATGGACTTCCGTATTTAGGGTCTTCCTTCTCAAGGTTACCCAAATACTATAATTTTTTCCATTGGTATTTAGCACTTTTAACCAAATGGAGAGCTGTAGCTGCAGTTTAATCCCTCTTTAGTGTTCCAGGCACATTATATTAAACATGCATTTTAGCCAGGGGGGAAAGGAGCTGTGGAAGTGGTGGGTGTTAGATCCCTGCCAGGCAAGGCGCTGCTGCTGAAGATGACAGCTTTTCCTGCACTGCCCAGAGCATCACCGAGGAGCTCTCTCCTCCCTCGCAGGGAAGGCAGCTGCCTCCCCAGCCCATCCCCGCTGTTAGTCAGCACATGCACTCCGCTCTGCCGGATCCAGAGCAGAAGATATTGTTAGGAGATATTGTTCAAGCGCTTCCTCGCTCTGCTTTGTTAAGTAATTCTTGGTTGTTAATGCTGAAAGGGAGATTTTTCCCGGGGCGCTCCGGGCAGGAGATTGCTTTGAAAGCAAGGAGAGCTCTGTGGAGCAGCACGTCGCAGGGTTCCGGGGGTGGCCCGGGGTGCTCGCCCAGAGC